TCCTAAAGATGTATGTCGCCCGTTCAACGGGCGACTTTGGCGAGTTTAAAATTTTTTTTTCTCGTTGGTTAATCGCTTAATTAAATTTTAAATGGTACTTAGTTTAAAAATTTGCCCTACATTAAATAGTTAAAGGTTTTAGATGGAGGAGGCTTGCAGGAGGAGAAAAGGATGGGATGTGAACGGTTCAGCTAGAGCAGGTAATGAGGGGATTTTGGCTTGAAGAGGTCGGGAGACCTCTCTCTCTCTTTTTGAAATAAAGGACCGGGCAAGAGCTGCCGTTATCAGGTCCCAGTCCTGGATGAGAAAAGTGGAGGGTTGCGTTAGGTAGTAGACAACTAGCGTAAAACTTGTCGAATAATAATGACATGAATCTTTTAAGAAATTGTCCCCATGTAGTGGGATGAAGGCTTGATGTTGTTGTTGTTGTTATTGTATGTATAGTATTTATTTAAATATTGACCATTGGTTAGTGACATAAGTCTTTCACCGTTCAAATTGATCATTTAAAAAGACATCATGTGGCAATGGCAAGGATTTAATATGTACGAGTTGCAGGATTTTTGGGTATGGGATAGAGATTCAAAATTTGATTTTTACTTTTTAATTATTAAAATAAATAAATAAAAACATAATAATAAATTAAAAGGGTGTGATTAGATTCTCACTCAATTTCTCATTTCTCATGCATCTCAAAATGTATATTATTGCCTCGAGCAGAGACAAATTTTATGTTTCGCTTTTGTGAAGCAACCTAGGCAATATGAGTGTCCTTACATAATTTTGCCTTGAGCACACGCACGCGTGCAGACACAGACACAAAAAAGATTGTTTATTTATTCTTTCATTAATCTAGTGTTGATTGCTATAAAGATTTATTCTTTGATGGATTGTTTTTATTTAGATTTGTTGGGATATAACTTTGTTGTGTTATGTTTGCTAGAGTGATCTTTATTGTATTGTAGCTCTTGTTGTACTCTATTTTATCTATTGTGATTGCATTCTACTTTATCAGCCTTGTAGTATGTGTTAAAGCTGTTAGATTGCACACTATTGTATCTACTGTAGGTAAATCTTGTTTGAACCCTCTTCGAACAATATACAAACACTATTCAACCATGTTCATACATGGTTCAAACCATATTGGAACCTTGGTTGAACAAGGTTTGAACCTCCTTTGAACCAATTTCATTCTGACTTACTTTAAATAAGTAATGCCTGCAATAAAAAAAGAGTAATTTGTTCTAAAACAAATTTTCGGGCACATTTTTTCAATTATGGCTATATATAGATATATACACACTAACAGCTATGCAAGTGACATATCCATACACACATGCATTCTCAAGAGCACAGGGACATTTGGATACCTAGAGATTGGTTATAAGATGGTGAAGGATGTGAACCTAATAGAAGGGTAAAGGATGAACTATTGAAATTGTTTGCAATTGCATGCTCCAAATTTGAACTCTTTCGTCAATGACCAGATTGAGCTTGTTCTGTGAATTACAAATTGTTTCATTTTGTTTCTGGATTTCCTTTGCTTGACATAAAATTGATCCTAAATTATTTCTCGAGCAGCCTGACCAAAATCCATTTGGAGATGTTCCTTTCAAGGCAATTTCAGGGGAGGATTTACCATCAGAAACAAATACATCAGCTTTTGCTACTTCACAGGCTCCTTCTGATTTTATTAGTGCTTCTGAAATTAATTTACCAATAGAGAAAAAGATGGAACCGTCTCAAAGCTATAATTTTGGAAATACATTCGGAGAACCAATTTATGTTCCAGATGTGAATGATCAACATTCTTTATCAAACCCTGATGTTTATGCTTCAGAATTTTCTGCTGCAAATTCAAGCAAAGATATTCTAGATGGAATTCTCCCATGGACTGGCCCTGTAGCCTCAGCTTCATTTCAGGAAACTCAACCTGCAGGTCAAATTCATTTTCTTTCACAAGGGATTTCAGCTTATTCAGCTTCCCATGCACATAATTCTACAGACACCGATTCATCAGATCTGAAGATAGCTCAAATAAATCCATTCGAACAACCCAAACTTTCTAATCATCTAACTGGACAAGCAAATCCATTTGCATGCCAGGTATTTCAGAAAGCTTCTCCAAGTGCAAATCAGATGAATTCTACAGATAATTCAGTCCTTTTACACCCACAAATTTCACAAGTTCCTGTTTCTCCTCATTCATTTCAACCTGCATCTCTAAACGGTATGCAAGCTTCTCATATGATTTCTATGAATAAAAAAGGGCTATCTTATCTACCAACGTCACAAACTATTTCCATTACTCTCCATGCTGACCAATCTACTCCTCCAGCTAATTATCAAGGGCTCCAAATGAATCATTCTCAGCAGCAAAATCTTCAATCCCAAACAATTCCACTATCATCTAGGATTGACTCACATGTGTCTCAGATTAATAATCTAAACCAATTAGGGCCATTAGCTCCACAAACATCGCAGTTGGCTTCAGGTCAATTCCAGGCAGTTCAGTTTAGTGTTCCAGTAAATGAAAATGTGGAATCAGCTCAACTGAATCCTTTACAGCATCCAATGGCGACGGCTTCCCACTCATTATCATGTTCTCCAATTTCATCACAGCCATTTCAATCATCCGCTCCTACCATTATACATGCACCTCCAATTAATCTTCAGCCATTTCGACCAGTGGCTTCAACTAGCTTACAGGGAACTCAAATAGCATTAGAAAACATCCCAGTTTTTTCACAGGCAGCTCAAAAAGCTACACCAAGCAATATACAGACAAATCAGCCCAGTTTCACTCATTCAGCTGTACCAGATCCAATAATTTCTACACAAGGATCTGCAAAGCCACAACCATCTAAGAAGAAATTTGAACCAAAATCTGCAGTCTGGGCAGACTCAATAAGCCGAGGGCTGGTCAATCTCAACATATCTGGACGTAAGTGTTTTAAAGTGTTAGAAACAGGAGAAATTATTACGTGCGAAGTCCGGTTACGTCCGGACTCCAATAAAAACGTGGCATGTGTCTTTGTACACAGTGTGTACAACTTTACACACTATATACAAATTACAAAATTACGTATATAGTATGTACAAACTTATATACATAATCTACACACTATGTACAGATTTGTACACAGTGTGTATAAATGTGTACAAATTTGTACACGCTACGTACAATGACACATGTCACATTTTTTATTGGAATCCGACGTAACTCTACGTCCGGATTCCGCACGTAATAATTACTCCAGAAATAGAATTTCACCTTCAGTTTTATTTATCGTCATGAACAAAGTGCTCTTTTCACCACAACCAAGAGCAACCATCTGGCAGATATCGGAATAGACTTTGATGATATTAACCGGAAGGAGAAAAGAAGGGAAATGAAGAGTTCCCAAACTCCATTGCCATCTTCCCTTGCCATGGGAAAAGCTATGGGAGCTGGTTCTGGTCTCGGTCGTGCTAGTTTTGGTCTCGGTCGTGCTGGTTCTGGTTTGTTTACCCAGCCTATGAATCCGGCGCCAACACGGGCTTGGGCATGAACCAACCATACATAGGAATGGGGATGGTTGGTAACATGGGCATGATGCACCCATCTTCAGGAATGCCTCATCAGCAGGGCCCTGGCTTTCCAGGTCCAGGAGGCTATGGACAAACTCAGCCATATGGACGTGGTGGGTATAGTTGAATTTTTGCCTGTAGGTCATCATGTAGACACAAAAATCCATATAAAGAATATCTCATATCACACTTTTTCACATAGCCAAAAGTACTATGATGACCTTCGTGGGTTACAGTGAAGATCTTGGGTTCGATCCTCATCTATTCTATTAAACTCCCATTTACGTACTTCGGGTGGCTTAAAAAAAAAAATTCTTTAAGCACAGAGAAATACATTTATCGTTCATATTGAACATATTGCCTTGGTGGCTTCCATACTTACCTGTAAATGAAGAGTGGTGATAGAATAAGCCTGTTGCCATCAGCTGTGGATCAGACTGGGCAATAGTGCAAGTTCTCACAATCAATACCTTATTGGCATTCCATTTTATGTAGAAAAAAGATAAAAAGTTGAATTCATTCATAACATTTTTCTGTACCCATTTGACTTTTTTTAAGCTCATTTTTTTTTGCATAATTTGTGTTAGCCTTCAATGCAACAGCAAATTGATGTGATGTGCAAATTTATATCATTATGCTTGCATCATTGGATCTTTGTGCCACTCGAGCTTGTCCCTAATATCCATATCTCGGATCATGGCTATCAATAGTAGCCCTGATATGATCCTTGATAGGCTCATCAGATGGAGCAATTATTAGGTCCTTTCACTGGATGTAGAGGAAGGTTCGGTTTTAGGCAAAAATAAGTCAAAAAGTGCAAATACCGATCGGTATTTTTTCAAAAAACTCGGTATTTGCACTTTTTTAGGCAAAACCGAACCTTCCTCTAGGTCCTTGCACCGGACCAAATAAAAGTTCCATCAGATGGCATATTGGCAAGCCTCCTCCAAAAGAGGGAATTTAAATAAATATAGCGGCCTGTGTTCTGCTTCCCAACTGAAAATTGATGAAAAATGATTTTTTTTTCTTTATTTTAAGCTTGTCAGAAGTTTGTTAGTGATGATCGCAGTTTTGAGAAGTAAATCTTTTTAGGACATTTAAATCAATTAATATAAATTCACACTCACATAACATACATAAGATTTAAGAGTGATTTACATGCATACCACCTTTCTTTACTATTTATATATGCAACACCTAAAATTTTAATATTATATAACCACCCATAGAACACCCATAGAACATATATGAACATATGACATAAAATATTAAAATTTATAGGATAATATGAGTAAAAAGAATGAAATATATGAGTACTATATTTAATATTAAAACTTTATATGAGTGATAGAAATGTAATATTAAAATTTGACATGATAGATATATAAATAGTATGAAATAAAATAATATGTATGAAATAAAATTTTACATGTTAATTGGTGTAACCAAAACTTTCAATCAACAAAGATGAGCCATGCAAGAAGAATGCTTGTGTAGGATAATGTTAGAACTTTTTTATTTTTTAGATAATAACAATCAGTTTTTTTTTTCAATTTATTATAAAATTTTGTACGATGAAATAAGTGTTTATAATCAATCAAATAGAATGCAATAATTATAAATTTTTTTTTTTCTTGAAAGAAATTATAATACTCATTTTTTTTAAATTTAGTTGCACTCACTCCGAATGAACCAAACATATTATAAGTTATAAATTTAAAAAATTGTGAAAATTTTTTAATCAATCCAATGGTCTGAAACCTTAAAAAATAGGATAAAAAATAATTTAACATAATCCAATGGCCTCAATAATTATGATTCATGAGAAATTCACATATAAAGACCACCAAAAATCAATGGATTTAGCAACAATACAATTACACTGCAAAACTACTGTGATACTGCTTCCCTTACAAAGCAATACAACAGCCTCGACCGCTTTGGCACATTTTTTTTCCACAATACATTTTGACAAAGTTTAAACATAATCAAACCTTAATTTTTGAATTTCTTCTCTTTGTTGTTACAAAAACGCCAACAAAAACAAATAACAATGTTGTAGAAATTAGCGATAAAACCTTCCAAGTCATATAAAGGTTATAACGTGCCTCCTGTGTTTCCTGCATATGATGAAACTCAACAATTTAAAATATACGAGAGATCAATTCTTAGAAAATTAAGGAAAAGCAATGGCATCATCATTTGAATGTAGGGCTTGTGAGATTGTTGGTTTAAAAATACTAATGGGATTAGGCCCTCTACAACAGATTTAAACTTTTGAGTTGAAAATGAGTTTAAATTATTGTACCGGATACAACTTTGATCATCCTTCTATCTATTCCCGAACATGCGGGATTAGAGCTAATTATTTTGCTAGTAGAATCAAGTGATTGACTCATATGATTTACCATGTTCCACGACCGGGTTACTCCCATAGCGACGACACAAACTCATATGAGGAGATTCGCATGTGAGAGTATTACATTTACCATCATATCAGATAAGAGAAAAATATGTCGACATACCAAACCGTTTGCCCTTTTCCGCGGCTCGGCTTATATTTTGGAGTTTAAAACATGTTTAAACCATTGATATAACATGCACACAGCTTTAATTAACCTTTTATTTCACACTTCCTAATAGTAGTTGTAGTTAATTTGAGCAAAAAGACTATATGATATATTGTAGCATTTTAGATTTGGGTTAGTAACCAAATGTTGAAGAAAACTCTTCACTATATTTTGTGTCCATTCTCCAACTTCAGCACCTATAATCATTTTCCATGTTCTCTCACAAGGATAATCAGAACTTGTCTTTGTAACTCATAGCGCATCCAGAGCCCTATGTGACCAAAAGAATAAAAAGAAATTGAAGTTGCTCAAAAGATCCTAAACCCTAAATACCATAGAAGGGAGAAGATCTGGAAGTTGGAAAAGGAATATTTCAACACAAACACATTAAATTCGCTATTTTTCAAAACAAGTTTTCAAATTTCAAACCATGAAATGAACCTTAAAAAGCAAAGAATCTTCCAGTTTCAGAAATAAGGTACCAAAACATAGGAAATTAACCCAACATCAACAGAATTTCAAAGATAAAAATCAGAATTAACTGACCATCTCAGATAGACGATACTTATTTTGCGGTTCAGATTTTGGTTGGCCATTTTGCATAAGGTGCTTCGATTGCTCCATAAAGAGTTGTTGTGCATGTTTATACAAATCTACATCAAGGCTGTTCAACAATAATATTTTCTGGATTACCGTTTGAGGAACCTGAAGGCGTGCCTGAAAATTTAACGAGATTACTTCATGCATTTAGAAGAATAAATACAAAATTACTAAAGCTCACAAACTACTAATACTGAGAATGAACATTGGATTAGCTTCCATGGAAAGGATATTACAATCAAGTATAAAAATATATCTAAAAAATAAAGACAAAAAGTTAGCTTTTGTTCTTCACTAATGAAGAAGTACAGCAATTTCTAGCATTCTACCAAATTGCGATTGATGTAAACAAGTTACAGTAACAATTTGAAATCGCAGCAGAAGAGAGGAGAATCTCCAATGAGAATAAAATCATTTAACAGTTTTTATTGAATCACGCATGTCTGAAAACCAAGAACATATGCAATCTTTAGAGGAGTATATACAAGATTTACCAACAAAAGCCAAAGGATCCTCCATTCATCAAATTCACTTGAGTATGGCCAATGTAGAGTCAGGGAAAGATTTTTGATAATATCACACAAGCAAAATGAATTAAGTTCATTATCAAAAAATCATGTAGCTTTAACTTAAAGATAAAAATATTTAAAACATTTTCACAATCTACTATTTCATCTTGTTGTGGAAAACCAAAAACCGGATAATTTTCCACATCTACAGTGCAAATTCTCTTTTCAAACAACATTGGTTAGCAAAGAAAACATCTTTTTTATCCCTCTGGGCTCCGAAAATTCATGCCCAAGCCTCTCCACAACCCGCTTTCTTTTTTTTCGAGTTGTTGAGGAGAGTTTTAACGAGTATGTTCCGATGTAAATTTTCATAAGGCATATTGAGTTTTAGATAAGACATTATCCAGAGATTTCGCCCTCAATTTGTGAGGACTTTAAGATCTGAGTTCAAGTTTTCTGTAGGCACAAGCCCCTATAATTAATTATCCCTCCTGATAGCGAGAGAATTTTTTATTAAGGCTAGTCATTAAATAGATACATAGTATCCAACATATAATAACAACATGTTTAAGCATTTAAAATTAGAAATTCACCACTTGATACTTAAAGCGCTTTTTTTTTTTTTTTTTTTGGGGGGGGGGGGGGGGTGATGATAGACCCGATCAAGATCCCATAATTTCAGTCCCGGGTCATCATGATCCTTGGTCTAGTTAGTTAGAGGAGCTAGTCGACCCAAATTGATAGAAGGATCCTTGTCAGAAGTCATGGGTTGTTTTATTCAAGAGTACCTTGTAGATCTGGGGTGAACATTTGTCTAAGGAGACAAATATGAATCCACCTAAGTCAACAAAGGGCTTTGTGCCATATTAATCATATCCTATTGATTCATTACTCAAGAATTTTGACGCTGTTGGAGAACATACAACCTCTAACCATGACCGTAATTTAAAGAAGCCATTTGGTGGGAAAATCGTCCGGTCATAAGGACCCAATCATAATCATTTACCTGTGGCTCCATTTGGCGGTGAAACCACCAGTTAGAGGACATATGTCATGTCCTTATTGGCAAGAGACGGTTCGAGAATAAATCCAAGTGATATTCTCGACCAGACATTCGTTCTTTGTAAGCTAAGATTTATCAGATTTGTCCACCTCGGCAAATTATTGCGGAGAGTGAATGAGTATTTTTCTTGAAGTTTTTGAGTGATTTATTTCATCTTAAATATCTTAATCTTTAATGATTTTGAGTTTTGAACTGTTATTGAAAGCAGAGCCCTTTTATGATTAATTTGAGATTTAGGGGCATTTAACAGATAGAAACCCCTCCGATTGAAATTTTCATTCAATACGGCCATCATTGGAGTGACTTTATTGTCACTTTAAATGTTTATATTTCATAGTAGATTGAAAGGCATTTTAAATGCTTGTGGTCACCTCCGGTTGAGGTTTTTTTATCAACACGGCTATCATCGGGTTGTAATTATGGACAATTTCATTTTATTTGTTGAATCTTGTCGACTGTCTACTTGTTGACAGAGGATCATATTCGTCGTCGGCTTTATGCTTTTATTAGTGAATCTTTCTTGTAATAAACCCTGAAATCCTAATATGAATGTATAAAAAAATATCCCGATCGACATCGCGATCGTACATTTATTTGATGGTTCGAGCCGTGTCAACTCTTATCTATTCACATAGAATGATTGGGCTCGAACTTAAGTTCATTTCTTAACTCACGTAGCATCCTCAGACATCACGTGTGTGCACACATCACGCTCGCGAGGCTTATGTAGGTATATGCCTCTGCATGTATTTTGCATAATGTATTTGTGCAGCGGCTATTTATATACAATGCAGTGGACGTATGCGACACATATACATGTTATGCATGCACACTCATGTATCTATCTGCATGTTGGCATGTGTATTTGCCTCCTGCATAATGTGTTTGCATGATGCATATTGTATATTGCAACGTATATCTTGTATATAGCAATGCATAAACATCTAGTACATTTATATATTATGTGAGGATGTCTACAACATGTCTACTCATTCATAACTACATGTAATTATGATATGCTTCTGTCGTACACTCGCGTAGTGGATTTTGTATGTTGCAGAATGTACATGTATAATGCATTTTGCATGTTAATGCGATGTGTCGCCACAGGATGATGTATTTGCATATTGAATGTAGTATTTGCATGATATACCCTGCATATTGCAAATGTATATGTATTATGAATGTGTTAGCATGCTTTTCAATGCATGGAGTGCTATTGCAATAATCAGTTGTGTAAATGACTATTGCTAACAAGTTCACAATGTTTCATTTTAGAATATGCAAACATCTTTTGTCAGCTTGTATGAGTGTTGCAGATCCGGTGGCGTGGTGCTGCACTATGGATTGTCTGTTGTTTATTGTAGGTAGGTTGTCATGTAGCACTAAATTCTTATTGGCCAGTAGTGGTTGTTTGAAAGATGCATGACCTTCCTTGAGGGGCCTGTAAACACCTTATGTCCGCTTGTATGCACTACAGGAAAATCACCCATTTCCGGCGGCCTTTTCCGGCGGTAATTGAACATTTTCCGGCGGTTTTGTAGTTTTCCGGCGGTTAAATTACCGCCGGTAAAAACGGCGTAGGAAAATGAATTCCGGCGGTTTTTTCCGGCGGCAATTTTGTCCGGCGGCTTACCGACGGTCTTAAACCGCCGGTCAAATTAAAAAAAAAAAAAAACTGCTCAGTGAATTAAGTTAATTGTTATTTTAACTTTTAATAAAATTAATTTTAAGATGAAAATTAAGTTAATTGTTATTTTAACTTTTAATAATTTTTTGTTAAATCATTTAAATGATTAAAATTTTATTTATTTTTTATTAAATTTTTAAAAGCCGCCGGAAACGTTAAAAAGCCGCCGGAAAAGCCGTCGGAAATGTGACCGCCGGAAAACCGTCGGAAAAAAGTCCAAAAGCCGCCGGAAAATTCCGCCGGAAATCAGTGATTTTCCTGTAGTGATGAATGTTGTGGATTCGCTGGCGTCGTTTAATAACACGTTGAGTCTCATTTCTTTTTTTACAAACTATTATTCTTCAATATTCAGTCTGCAGGAGTACTTCATCTTACAAATATGTTGTAAGACACATCAGGAGACTTCCACCTGTTGCTTACCGATGCCCTGCAGTTTTTACTACAAATTTCATTCCTTCTACTAATAGGTGAATCGTAGCGTTGTGTTACAAGTTGCTCGTTGCTTCTTGTGAGCGAACTATTGTGCATTGCAAGCTTTGTTGGATTTGTTCATTGGTAGTGTGTTGTCAGAAAACGTCAGAAGTTATCCACGATTGCGTACAGGTGGACGGCATTTAACGTGTATTTTGCTTGTAAGCGGGTCGTAATGCCGCGCTATGGGTCGCATGTTGCTTTATGCAAGAGAGTTGTCATACTATGCAAGCTTTGTCGAATTAGTTTGTAAGTTATCAACGGGAATTCAGAAATCACTGGCTTAGCTCATAGGCAAAACTACTGTGCGCACTTCAAGCTTACGCTGCCTACTTGTGGGCAAGTCATATTCACCACGAATTTGCTACTTTGACTTATGTGTAAGTTGTTGTATACATGTTGAATCATTTACTATTATTTGTAAGAGTTGATACAAGTCACTTGTAGCTTCCTATAGGCAGGCTGTTGTGTGCACTACAAGTTCTCTATTGCTACTTGTAGGTGCTTACACTTATTACATCTTTTGTGTTTTGCTTGTAGAGGAGTAATATCTTTGTTGAAAACTTGATTGTTGTTGACCATATGTGGCCTCAGCATTCATTGTATGTTGTTTGTTATCACTTGTACGTGGACTATTTCATGCATGATAAGTCTCATACAGTTGCTTCTAGGTGCTCATGTTCATAACATGTTCTTGGTTTCTGCTTGTAGAGACCATATTGTATGTGTATCTGTGTTTGCAGAGGACCCGTTCGACTTACAGTGTATCTACCATTGTTGCTTATAGGCAGATTGGTGTATTCATTTATATGTTAATGTCAGTTATCAGATGCACCACTGATTTCCCTATACACATTGGCCGACAAGCTGTCACTTTCACCGTGTATTAACCTTCAATGTTCATAAGAATCACAACACATATCTGCAATCTGACTAATATCAGTCGTAGGGAGTTTGTTACATTCATACCTTATTTGCTACCATTGCTCACCAGTAGATTAGTGCACTTGTCTGTTAGTTAATTGTTGATGATTGCAAGCAAATTATTCTCACCATAATCTCCTTCCCTTGTTTTCTACTTATGTTGTGTTCTTCGCATGTATTCATAGGTAGCTCATTGTATCAATTGCATGTCTCTTATTACCATTCATGAATGGTTCATTATGTACATTACAGATTCTTTGTTACTTGATGCATTTGCTTACAAGTTTTTCTTGTATGAAAGTTTTCCACTACGAGCCCCTACTTGTTCATTGATTTTCATTTGGATGACAATAACCATTAGTTAGCATTTGCATTTTATGTCCTCTGCATTTTGTTTAAGTCCAGGTCCCTCTATTTACTGGAAAGTTCGATAGTCTCCCATCGTCTCCCCCATTTAAGG